CCCCCCCCCCCCCCCCCCCAAAACCGATTCACTTGATTTCTTTTATTCTAGTGTTAGTTACACAAGACACCTCTTTTTTCTTTTTTTTTAAGGGTTGCATATGAACTCGCTCATGTTAAACCTCTACTATAAGAAATTAAATTTTTAACCCGCTATAATTATTACAACAAAATATTCAAAAATTATCACTATATATTTTAGGGACAACTTTTCTGTTGTCACTGGAACGCGGTGATATATGCTTTGGCTAAAACATTTAGCGGTAACATTTGAAAGTTGCCGCTAAAAGTTTCACTTTTAGTCACAATACTCAACAAGTCGCCACTAAATCTAAATCGAGAAATAAAATTGAACTTATAGTGACAACAATTAGCTGCGACTAAAAGTGCACACGTTTAGACACTTATAGTGACGATTTATTGTCGCGGCTAAAAAGTTTTAAATGAATTAATAATTTTTTTTTTTTCTTACTTTTGGAATTTTCCTTATTCCAATACCAAATTTTTGCACTAGTAATGAGATTGTGATAATTTAACTAATAATTGAAATTATAAATAACTTCAAAATCATTTTGCACATTTCGTAAACAACAAAAATTCATAAAGAACATAAAAAATCATAATCCTTGTACTTTTGAAAGTGATCTTTTAAATCATAATGGATCTCACATTGCTATCCTGAAAAGAAAAGAACAGAAAAAAGATTAGATTACTTTTCAAAAGCTATAACACCCACTATGATAATAGAAATTGACAGGACGGAAAATACAGGAGAAATGCTTACAGCTAAAGATTGCAACCACCAGTTAGCACTTGAGTACACTTTTGACATCCAAGGCCTAAGGTACCTTAAAAACTTATTTATAATCTCCAATTTCTTGTAGTGTCTTTATCTATAATACTTGTGCACTACGGCTAATTAAAAATATTAATATTTCGTTTGGTACGATAAAAAATAGAAGGATAAAAAGTTAGAAAGACAGATCAAACATCATGTTTGGTAAAAAAAAAAATAAGAAGGATGAAAAAGTGAATAGATTAACTTTCCTTTAAACTCATCAAAATCAATCCCTCCAAAATTGAGAGAAAAAATAAATAAAAAGTTAATTATATGTATTGAAATGTATACTATTAACCTATATATTCTTTAATATATGTATATATCATATATATACATATTATGTATATATATATTATGTATACATTAATATTAGATATAGATATAAGGTAAAATTTGTATTCCGTCCTTTCACTTTTTAATCGTGCCACACAAAAATATCAAGCATTCATACCTTTTATCTCCCTATCAAACACAAAGGAGGGAAATAAGGATTCCTCTTTTGTAGAATGGAAAGACTCACATTTTGCATCCTTCCATTTTTTCATCCACTCAACCAAACACACCATAAATCATTCGAGTTCGATTCAAAATCATTCATATTGGGAAATCCATAAACAATGATCAAATTTTCAGGTTCGAGGTTCAATGTGTTTATCATATACTATCTAAATATTGTTTTCGTTGAAAATAGTAAAATAGCATTTTGTATTTGTGTCTTTTTCATAATTTTTTCGAGATTTAGCTAAATTGAAGCTAAAAGTACAAAAACGTCCTAAAAAGGAAATTGAGCTAGAGTAATAATTCAAACTCGACAACTGAGTTTTCATACATTTACTCAAGAAGCTAGGTTTGTTTAACAACTCCACCTACATGACATGAATAGGAAGTAGTTGGCTAGGCTAATCATCCAAAGATGGCAGCATCTATATCCAGAGATAACAACCCCTTTTTTTTTGTTTGATCATATTACAACTTTTATGATCTAAGTTACAACTTTTATAGGGTTATTTACAACTTTTAAAGGGTACTTGTGATCGATCCTAAAATTTTTAAGATCAATCGCAAGTGACCCCCAAAATCAAAAAGTTGTAAATGACCAACAAATATTGTAAATAAACCCCAAAAGTTATAAATGACCCTCAAATTTTGTAAAATAAAAGAAAACACTTGTAAATATCGGTACGGTACCAATAAAAAAAAAATTAGGTACCATAGACAACTTCATGAAATTTCTCCACTCCATTCCTTGTGTGACCTTTCCCCCACTTCCAATTATCTATTCAATCACACAATTTACGGGCATTAAACTAGGTACAAAGTCCTCTTCTGTCCATTTTTGCATTTCAGACCAACCTATTAGGATTCGAATCTTTAGCCATTTTTAATGAACCAGTCGAAGTCCTAGTAAGTAATTTCAACAAGTTGTTAGCTATTGATGGTGATTTCCCTTTGGATTCCAAGTCACCTTCTGGCTTGCGAATTACTTTTCTAGGAGACGTCACCCTCTTGCTCCGAGCCCTCTAGAAAGCTTTATAAACAATTATAAAGAATATTAAACAATCAAAGCCTCCCAAAAAAAATTCAAGATTCCAACAAATCTTTGTATTGGCTGGTTAGTTTCTTCAAGGAGGGTGATGGTGAGCAGTTGAAGATGGTTGAGGATTTTATGCTATAAAAAAGAGCATACAACCATTGGAGAACTCGTCACTAGCGGTTGTTTAGGTGTCATAGACTGCTTGTCAATGCAACCATTAGAGGGGACCTACGCAAGGCGTATTTTTGAGATATAGTAATCCATCCTCTTGAACTAACACTTTGTAAAGCATTTGTAGTTTAATAAGAATGGAGAGACTGCTTCTAGTAGGTAGGGAAAGCTCAAAAATTGTATTTTAGAGTACAAGTTACATAAAATATTTGTAAGTTTCAACACGCTCCATCAACTACAAGACTTTCTATTAAAATATTATGTTGAATTGTCATCGATCACCCAGAATGATCTTTACGGGGCTTATTCTATTTAATAAAATACATTATTCATAGAATAAATAATGTTCAAGAAGACCAGACTGTTAAGCCAATGGGTAATGTTATCTCGGTCACCTATTGATTTACATAGTGGGTGTACACCTGGTCTAAAGTAAATAAATAAGTCGTGTCGTAACCCTTAACCCAGAGAGATCAAATAGAAAGCTATACTATCATAACTTGGTCATCAGAATATAACAGAAACAGGGTGTGTGAGGTACAGAGTAACTGAGCGTTTGCTTTCAGTTTTGAATGGATAACAACTTCATGAATACAAACACTGGACACTGAGGTGCCATTGTGTGCCCCCGCGGGGGTTATGTGCTGGGGTTTTTCCCACAAAAGATGCTGAGGCAACCAAGTGGTGTCGTAGCCATTTGCACCAGTTGCCTCCAAAAAGATTGCCCAGAGTTGGGAAGATTTACCACAGGGTATTCCAGACTGCACAATCTCAGTCTAGAATGGACTAATACAAGGGATCACCAAGTAACAAGTGCCTCAACGTATAGGAAAACAAAATAGAGCCCCTTACCTGTGTTTATAGTCCACCAGCAGCATCACTAAATAGAAATGAGGCACCTGATCCGTCTCAAAAAAATGAGAGAATCAGCCCCAATCACAAGAACATTATTCAATCCGAATCCAGAAATTTAGTGTAATGGTTCAATTTTTTTGACTATTGAAGCAGTGGGGTCTTTATTTGAGAAGGGACAGCCCTGCAACAAGTCCTAAAATTCATTGAAGAAAAAAAAGAAATTGTTACTTCAAATATAGCAAGAAGCTGGCACTAAGCCACACAAACCCACTACAAGCAGCTTTAATATCATAATCCATTGTATTTCTGTAACGCCCCAAAATCCACTCTGAAATGCGTTACTATCCAAAAACCATTCAATCATGAAATCAATTAACAATAACCATTAAATAATAAACCATTCATCCATCTGACAAAGAATAAATACTAAAATCAATAAAACATTGTAACTTCTCTAACTTACAATTAAAAACTAAATAGTATCTAGCAGTTGAACAATTAACTATCTAAAACATTGTTTCATAGAAATCAATCAAACTCTAAACTAAAAATAAAACAACTCTATTCATGTAAGACAAGATTCACATCTTGATTCTCCAACACTTCGTAGTCACCTGCTCATCCACATCGTCATACTCTTCTATGCTAAAATCTGTAAATGTATAGTTGTGGAGGGTGAGCAAAAATCCATAAGAAATCCCTCTCAAATCCCAATAAGGTTTTAAAATAACATGAAGAAAGTAAGTCTCTTTTAGAAAATAGCATATATATATTAGAGTAAAATCATCACAGTTGTAATGATCTCAAGTGTACAGAATACAATAAATCAATTGCAAGAATAAACATGCAAGAAATTAAAACAATCAATAAATAATTCAACAGTATCATCTCATATTCTCATGTATGTTAGTTGTTTTTCAGGAATCTACACAACAATTCTACCTCGTTCACACACCACACCAACTGCTGGGCTAAATCATAAACCACTTTAGAAAGGCCATATACCATCTCACACAACATTGATGAATCCTTCCCAGGAAAAATATACCATCCCTCAATCTCGAACATGAACAATAGTGATTGTTCTCACAAACAAAAATCCACTACAAATATTAAACAACCATCTCACCCCCACTGGGATAGACTAATTTCTAACACTCTAAGGCAGCTCTCGAAAGCAATTCAAGTCTGTCACACCCAAACTATATAAGAGATGAAACCACAATTTTCTCAACAACCACAATCTTAACCAATCACAATTTCTATTAACAATTCAAGTATCACAATTGCACAGTTCTCAATATACTACAGCAATAAAAGAATTAAAATATGCAAGAAATCATATAAAGAAACCTTTACAATTTCAATATCTAAATTCTAAGATTTTGTCAAAAATCACAATTTCTTGGAACAAAAAAAGTAGTTGATTGAAAACCTAATTTAATCAATAATAAGAATTTTAGAATTCAAGAATCAATAGGTCTTTCACTTAAAAGATGCGATTAGGAAAAATCAGGGTTTTGAAAATTCAAGAACAATGTTTCTTAAACGCAAGACATGTATCTAGTTAAAAACCACATGTTACTCGAAAAAAATCAAGCTATTATATGCGTGACAGAGACAGGAATCCACCCACCTTACTAGAACAAATAAACAAAACCTGTAAAACACCCCATGCATAATTTACTTAAGAAAAGTGAAGAATAAATCAAGACTCAACATATAGGAAAACAAAAGAACCTTTGGGGCATTTGGTCGAACACATTTAGGGGTTTTTTTTTGCAAATAGGGGGTTTGCACAAAAATGAGTGCAAATACAATGTGTTATGCATGGAGTTGTGTATGTGATGTGTGTGTGGGCTATAAAGTAGCAAGTTGCCGAAGGGAAAACTCCTTTCTCCCGAAACTAACCGTAGTAACATAGAGCTACCTGAAAAAAACTCTTACGCCACTATAAACATAGGAAGGAAAGCAAGCTACATCCCTATAGACAAGAAGACCAGACTATTATGTGACATAAATAATAGAAAGAGAAAATTGGACGCTACTACTAATGGAAGTCAAGCTAACTAATAGGATAGGAAATGCTAGCTACCAATTACATGACTACGTGAAGGAAGTTACATCTCAAATTAAGAAGTAAAACTCCAATCCTAACTATCCTAACTCAATCCTTCCATCTAGGGTGGGAGAAAGTGTACTCGGAGCCATGTTATGGCCAAAGGAGGCAATGGCACCCTCAACTTTTTGAAATTATATATTATACCCCTAAAATTATATTTTGATCATACTTTATATGTCACTCAAATTCTTTAAATTATACTTTATACATTAAATTATAATCTTGCTTTTGTTTTATCTTATCGACTATTGAGCTGACTACACTTTTATCATTAACTATCATTGCTCTTTGCATAGAATAATACTATTTGAACCTAAAAATTTAACTTAATTTGTTGACCTAATAATGTGGCTTTATTATAATCGTTGAATTAACACCAAGTTTCAATATTTGATGGAGTCTATAGTCAACCCAATTGTTATAGTGAATTATGTCAAGAAATTAAGTCAATAAATTAGGTCTCAAATAATATTACTCTTTTGCATAAATTGTTAGATTTTGATATTGTACCAATCTATAAATTTTAGACTATTTTAAATTATTAATGATGAAATTAGTTTGATTTTTACATCTAATACTTCAACTAGTTTCAATTAACTTTATTCATTTTATTGAAATAATAATTACACTATTCCATGAGAGGTTAATTCTTATATGCTCCAAGCAGGAAAAAATTTGACATTAACGATCTTATTGAATGATCCACATTAAATATAAATATTTTGTTCAGCTGCTATTTGGCCCCCCTCAAGAGAAAATCTTGGCTTAGCCCCTAGTGTACTATTATGGTATACAAAAAAAGAGATGTAATTCCTTTGCACTTTTTCTTTCTCTCTCCCAGTTTTCTCCTACTTTATTTGACTAAGGCAAAGAATACCACTATATCAATAACAAGAAAATGTCACAATTCAGTTTCAGTTTCAATGTGCGATGTGTATTTTAACCCAAGTTGTATCAAATCCAAGAGTAACATTTCAACCTTGTTTCACGAGCCTAATCCATATCTGATTTAAACCTATTCATCCCAGAGATAACCCATGCAAAGCAAGACAATTGAAAACAATGACATAAACATATGAAAGCCACATCTCAATGCATTGTACCAAAATCAATACTAACCTAAGAATTATTCATAGGTAGTGATACAGTTAAAATCCCAATAAAATCATGGAAACATTTTTAAAAATCACATTTTATTTCCTTTTTTATAGTCACCTCTAAGCAACAACTCGACAAGGTTACAGTAAGAATATACTGTCACCAAAAATGCCACATGAAACATTACAAATCCACCCCATTGATTCAAAGGAAGAGTTCTACAGTAACTATAAGATTGGTGGCTTCACCATAGATTATTCAATCACAAATGTTCGTGCAAGCTATGTATCAGCCACTTCAGAAGGATAATCCACAAAGGTGTGGCAGGCATAGGCCATGGTTATATCCAAAAGAGATTAGGCTCTAATCTCAGACACAAAAAAAAAAAAAAAAAAGGATAGAAAAAAGGAGGATAATCTACAAAATTTGGTACCAAATTAATGAACAGTTAGTTATATGGAATAAATTCAGCTAACCTGTTTCTATAAAAAATAAGTACAGTAGTCTTTCCACTTAAGACATTATAGTTCGGCTGAATGCGTGAGGAGTTCCGAATAGGTTGTGAATACATCTCCACTCCTAAGTGCCATAATTCAACTACTCATGGTCTAAAAAGCTTTTCAAGAAGGAAGGATCCAACTAAGAAAAATGATAAAACCCGCAAATAAATATAAGTGATGTAGCCACCAACTATCAGAAATTAATTAATAATCAATTTTAAAACCCAAAGCAAGCAAATTCAGACACCACCCACCACAATATAAGCGTAAAAACACAAACCCCACCCAAGCGGAGACGTTGAAACCCAGGTCACCTATCTCTAAGTTCTTGAACTTGCTAAATGACACAAATGCATGAAAGTGACATAAATGCATGAAGGTGACACAATCAATCCCGAAATAAAACTAATTACTGGGTAAATAAAAAAATCAACAATTAAAAAACTATAAAGTCTCGAAGTCGAATTGATCAAACAACCTACACTACTTAAAGTCTTAAACTACAACAATATCTTAAGAGGGATATAAAAAATCATTGCACTCAAATAATAGCACATAACAATTACCAAACTCAAATAGATCCCAGTAGTAGTTCCCAAGGGTGTTAAATTTTGCAACCCATTAATCTAAGTTTTGACATTAATATATCTATGAGTGAAGCATTTTACCAAACAGTTAGTAAACAACAACCAATTTGTCACAAACCTTATTTCACCAATTAAAAAACCATAAAGTCTAAAAGTCGATTTGATAAAACAATCAACACTACTTAAAGTATTTAACTANTAGTGATACAGTTAAAATCCCAATAAAATCATGGAAACATTTTTAAAAATCACATTTTATTTCCTTTTTTATAGTCACCTCTAAGCAACAACTCGACAAGGTTACAGTAAGAATATACTGTCACCAAAAATGCCACATGAAACATTACAAATCCACCCCATTGATTCAAAGGAAGAGTTCTACAGTAACTATAAGATTGGTGGCTTCACCATAGATTATTCAATCACAAATGTTCGTGCAAGCTATGTATCAGCCACTTCAGAAGGATAATCCACAAAGGTGTGGCAGGCATAGGCCATGGTTATATCCAAAAGAGATTAGGCTCTAATCTCAGACACAAAAAAAAAAAAAAAAAAGGATAGAAAAAAGGAGGATAATCTACAAAATTTGGTACCAAATTAATGAACAGTTAGTT